AAGGAGAGAGATGAGCTCATTGGCCCTATTAGGGGATTTGACGGGCCCCCTAATGGAGGTACTGACGAGGAGGTCTAGGACCCGATGGACCTCGACCCTCTTGATGGAGTTGTCTCTGATCCAAATGCCGAGGAGTCCTATCCGGAGTGTCCTCCTGGGTATCACCAGCTTTGGTGATGGGCTTAAGATGCCCCACCTTTTTGACCGCTCCTTTTTAGATAGAGGAGCCTAGGTTGACCTGACCGATTGCCCCTTTTTATATGATCGGTCGTTGAGAAAGCCGCCCCGAGATGGGTTTGTAAAGTGTAGCTTCTCAAGGTCAGCTGATGTTTATAAAATGGCTTGGTTGTTTTGTGTCTCAAAGCGTTTTCCTTGCTATCCCTGACTCTGATTGTTGATTGGGAGATTCAAGTATGCTTCCGAATGCGTTTAACGTCAAATAAAAAGAATGGATCGGCGACGCGTCCTGGGACGTCGCAACTTAACGACCATGGATGGATGCTAGCATTCTCGAGGGAACGGGGCGTGACATGGTTGAAACTCAAAATTGAACTGGAAAATATTTTCTGTCGTTTGCTAAGAAAAACTCACTTTTTTTTTCCGAAAGAGACATGTACTATTTATGTGATATAAGAGATCCACATGCTATATCAAATTATTTTCCGAGTGCCGAGACCTCGGCTCAAGTGTCAGGGATGGGGCCCCGGCCTCCCGTTGGGATTTCCAAGCCCAAGCACCCGGCATTCCTGAGCCCAAGTGCCAAGGTCTTGGTCATGGGAGCTGGGATTTCTCGGACCTAACCACCAGGAACCTGAGCACAAGTGCCGAGTACTTGGGCCTCATCTCGTGGACCCAGGCTCCCAGGATCTGGTGCGGGAAACTAAGGCACGGGAGCCTGGTACCCAAGGACCCGGGCACAATCACATGATAATTGCTTAATGACACTTGGGCACATCCGCTAACTCTGGAAAATCCGGTCCTATGAGGTAAAACGCTGTTCATTTGCTCTCAACAACTCACCGATGACGCTCAATTCATTGAAACGAGCAAACAATCTCCTCCTCCTCCTATTTTCAAGTAGTCCTTGCGGCCGTAATCGAGATGGTGAGTTTTTCTCAGGAGAATTTCATCGAACACTTGCTCTGTATTCATTTCTTCCCCTCCTCATATACCTGTCTTTGTTTCGTTGCAGTCTGTCACTCTACACACATATCTCGGTGACATCAAGTGCGAGATCTTCTGCGACGAGGTCCTGGAAGCTGTCGAGGTCAGTGACTTTCATCCCCTATTGTTCGTTTTCGTGTTTCTTTTCGTTGTGCAACGAAAAAAGACGGTTCTGATGAAAACTTCGAAGGAAGGTTGAATGGTGATTTATGTGCTTTTTTCAAATTTTTTGGTCACCCGTACTGCTCGAGCATGCAAGTTTTAGCCTTGCTGTGAAATATATTGCCTCTACGAATGGTTCCACTATGAATCCACTGCATATTGGCTTCGAGATTGAAATTGCTATGTTCTATTGTGTTGGGGGGGGGTGTGGCGGCGGGTTTAATTGTATTCTTCTCTCCTTTTCAAATAAGTTCTATAGAACATATAAAATATCAATAGGGAGTTTACTCGACAGTGTATATAGTAAAATATTGGTTGGTTTTCACCGTAGTTCTAATAAAAGAATGGGAGAAGTGTTTTAGCAAAAAAAAAAGGATGGGATAAGTGCATCATGTTTAGAAAACCTCTTAATATATTTTGAAGTTTAAACTATACATTAGTTTATATCGATCTTGACAAATGCAAGAAGTGCTTATGTTTCAGGTAATACTCACACTGAAAAGATTCTTTATGACCGAAAGACCTACGTGATCAAGTCTAGTGGACTGAGAAATTCATATTTGACTTGGAAGTAGGAATATCTTATGTCTACGGAATCTACTATCGTTGTTAAATTATCTTGGCAAGAACAGATGATCATATTCAAGAAGCAAGATACAGTGAACTATGTGAATATTAGCAAGGCTATTGCGTGAATATCAGCAAGACAAACGTTGGATATTAGCAAGATTTACTCTTGAATATTAACAGAGCGCCGGATATTAGCAAAAACTGTGCTGGCTAAATATTAGTAGAGCACCTATTCTTGCTACGATGCGATTCTTAGCAACGACTTCAAGATTATTATCTTGAGATACTCAATCTCATTCTTTACAGCTTCTGATTTGGTATGGATTCCCACTGTAGAAGATCTTGATTGGCTATCTATTTCAAAGACTGTCTTTGCAAAATAATCAATCATGCAGGATATATTGGTTGATTGACAATCATCCTGAAGGCAAGATTATTTCCATAACTGAAGATCTCCACTTTTGAAAACCAAGATTTGTTTATATGGACGAGCAAATCAACGAGATCTTTGATTGTTCAACCTCAAGGGCTATTTAATTTTCTCAACAGTTGTCCAGTGAGTAGATTGGAAATTGATCCTCTAAGAAAATCCAATGAGAAGTTCGAATATTGAGGAGTATACAAGAAGACCAAAGCGTTGAAAAGCAAGATAGATTAAGATTACAAAATTCCAAATTTTGAGAGAGCTTCACATAATTTGAATTGTCTTATGAGAGCATATTATTGTAATCTCTTGAGAGGTGTTAACAGTGTTACAAATGTGTGATTAGGTGTGAGATAGTGAGACCTATTAGCTTGAATATTAGAGCACCTACTTTGTGGATAAGTGTTTGAATATTAGTAGGCACATACAACTGGAACTTCTAATCGATTATAATGGAAATTAGCTAGTAGATTGTTAGCGTGGGAGAGTGGACGTAGGTTTACACTAAGCTGAACCACTATAAACTCTGTATGCAAAATCTTCTATCCCTATGCTTATATTTACTTATTAATTGACAGAAGATCGCTGCACTGCTGATTATTATCACAACTCTGATTATGTTCACACTTTGTCTCACTCGATCACTTTTTGGCACTTTTAATTCCGCATTTCTTTGCCCAAAAGTTATAAAATCACCTATTCACCCCTTTAGGTGATATTTTTAACTACATCAAGTTGTATCATAGCCGGGTGCTCAAATAATTTGGAGTGTATTACTTCTGAGTTAACGATCTGTCATGGCTAGCAATCTTGGACCAGGCATTATCGAGAGACATATCAACACCAGACCTCCTTATTTTGATGGGAAAGACCACTATGTTTAAGAAAAACAAAATGAAAGCATTCATCATATCCATTGATTATCTAATGTGGGAAGTCGTGCAAAATGGAATCAATCTACAAATGGAGCATCCTCCACACTGCAGCTTCCAACACAGGAGAAACAAGTGAGATTAGAACTCCAACACCTGCAATTACACCTACTAAATTGGTCAAAAGAGAAGCATTAGATGCAAAAGCCCCTTATTATCTTTATTATGCTTTATCTCTTGCCGGATTTAACTTTTCAAATCAATTATCTTGATATCTACTGTCACCATAAAAAAGGGATATTGTTGAGAAAACCACCTAAAATATTTTGGATTTGACAGAACAATTCATTATAACTTACGAGCTTGATAAATGCAAACATTGTCTATATATTAGGTAATATGTGCTTATATGTTGGAAGAAAAGATTCGTGAAAACTAGATTAACCTAAGTGTGAGCCAAGTCTAGAAGATTGTGAAAAGACTTAGAGGTACCTTGGTGAACAGGACCACATGATCTACATTTTGAATGTACTCAAAGTTGCCCATGGAGACATAATTGGATATCTCTAGGAAAGCCGATATAACCATAAACTCTTATCACTAGGAAACCAGATATAACCAAGAACTGCCGATATGAGCAGAGCGAGCATATTACCTATACAATTGATTATCACATACTCTGGTAATCTAGATAAAAATACCCCTTGACTATTTTTGTCTTAATATTTATGACAGCTAGTGATCTGACTTGTATTCTAAATCGAAGAAATTGATTGGCTATCAATCTAGAGAAATATCTACGTGGAAAACATCAATCACGTGTGATATATTGATTGATTGACAAATCATCTTGAAGGGAGATTATTTTTCATAGTTTGGGTTACTTTATTTTTAAAAAACAAAGATTTGATTGTATGAGTGACCAAATCTCGGAAACTCCAATTGATTGACTTCAACTGCTAAATTGCTTTGCTCAACAATTATCCAACGGATAGCTTAGAGATTGATCCTCGTGAAGATTGTCCAATGGATAGATTGGATACTGAGGAGTATAAACACTACAAAAAAATATGATTTTTACGACGAATTTTGCAACGAAAAATTTGGAAAAATCTGTCGCAAATCGAATTTGCGACGAATTTAGCGAAGGAAAAAATGCCGTCGCTAATAGGTCGTCGCAAAATTTTGCGATGGAATAAAATTCGTCGCAAATAATTTGTCGCAAATAATTCGTCGCAAATTAGCCACGAACACTATCCATCGCAAAATTCGTCGTGAAATTCGTCACAAAATTCATCACAAAATTCGTTGCAAATTTCGTCGCAAAATTCGTCGCAAAATTCATCGCAAATAATTCGTCGCAAAATTCGTTGCAAATTAGCCACGAACTTTATTCGTCGTAAATTTCGTCGCAAATGTAATCGCAAAATTCGTCGCAAATTTCGTCGCTAATTATTCGTCGCAAAATTCGTCGCTAATTTGCCGCGAACTATATTCGTCACAAAATTCGTCGCTAATTTGCCAAAAAAAAATTTTTGGTCTGTAATTTGCAGCGAACTTATTCGTGGCAAAATTCATCGCTCATTTGCCACCAAATTTTTTTACATTTGCCATCAACATTATTTATGATCGAATTTAGCGACGATTTTTTATTAATTCTTTAGCGACGAACTCTGCGACGATTATCGTTTAGGGACGAAATTAGCGACGAAATTTTATTTTTGCAACGAACTTTTGTAATTTGTGATCGTACGATAAAATCATTTATTTTATTTTTTGATTTTAAACCTAATTAAAAGAAAAATTAATTTTTGGAATTTATATTTAACATTGATTAAGCACTTAATAACATCAAAATATTATAATAATATGAAAATGAAATACATTCATCTACATTTTCCACAAGAATGACATAAATATTTTTCTTTATAGTACACATAATGAGAGAATAAATAATCTTGAGCACTTTAAAGCACCTGCTTAAGCAACCCCATGAACATATTGGGCCAACTGCACTTATGGCACAAAAGATGCTAAAGCAAAGCTTATCCCCGATATATATGAAAAGATACTTTCAATCTTGCGCCTGCTCTGCTTTCTCCTGTAAGGTTTGCATGGAGTGCTTCGTCACTTCCTCCAAAGAGGTGACATTCACTTGTTGACATACAATGCGATACTCAATCAGACCATCCTTGGCAAATCTCCCCCTCCGCATATCAACGCATAGCTCAATGTACTTGAACATAATCCTCTCAAGGGTATTTTGCCATGCTCGGGATCTCTTCAAGGTAATAAGATCGTGAAGTTCTTGCAGAGCATCTTGCTTCTGCCCAACATTTATCAGCTCTGCATCCACACATAAACAAACTTTGTCAGCAAAACTCCATGTTGCATAAAAGGACTGCAGAGAATCATCAACTATTCTCTCAAATGAGCTTCAAATGACACATATAATAGCAAATACCAGGTTTAGCTGAAACAATCCACTAACTTGCCTACCTACCCAGGATACATTCACAATCTCAAAAAATAACATAAGAACAGGTGCCTTCTGCGGATTATCTTGTCTATATTTAGCACCTACCTTATTATATTACTTTTAACTATATTCTTCATCCTCATTCATGTTGCACGATAACCATTTAATTTTGTTCCTATTGAATCAGCAAGTAATATGTTCACCTTGCATATGTCTGTCACACTCATGACCTAAGTCTCATTCACTTATGTTCAAGAATGCAAACACAAGAACAACCTTCATATTGTTAAGCATAAAAAAAAGAGAAAGCAGTGTCATGACAATCTCCTCAAAGACCATGTATTAAGCTAGGGAGTTGGGGAATGGTCAAGTGATTCTCATTTTGCTTCACCATATAGGTTGGGACAGAAAAATAAACAGGATGTCAGGTCAATAGTGGCAGTGAAACAAATTACCTTAATACCATATCAACGGCACAACCAGATAATTCACCAAATAAATAGAGATGCCAACCAAGTTAGTATACGTGTACACATGCAGACACATCCACCCTCCTGCCCTCCATACATTCATCAATGTGAGTGCCCGAGAAAATGGCTTACCACGTATCTTGAGGCATTAGAGGATCGCAAGACAAACAAAAGCGGCTTAACTATCCTTTTGACATCCTCCATTGGCGCCATAATCCAGTGTACAGTAGCAGCAGCAACTACCACTGCACTATTATAACTCCATAGCAGTGGTGATGTACATTGAAGTAAGATCTTAATATCATCATTAATTTTCCCGGATGTATATCTTGCAGAAGTTAACTTCGGTGAATCCATATTAATGTAAGTTGCACGTGATAAATATTCATCCGGTCCTTCAATGTATGATTTCTTTAATGATACAAAATGTGGATCACATGTTAGAAAGACAAGGCAGTGGAACTAAATCACAGTGCATAACATAGACAACAACCAGAAATAAGCTTCCTACATGGCAACTGAAAGCATAGAAGGCTATCTTTCACCATGTGACTGGAAACAGTCTTGGTAAACCAGATACCAAGTACATGCTTGCATTTAATCTAGCAATGAGCCGATTAAACGGAAGAGAAACACCCCCTCCCCCAACCCAAAAAAAAAAGCAGTAAATAAAATGAATGAGAAAAATGGGAAATCAATTTTGATGAACCACATCCTCAATCTTATTTAATAATTTTCAGAATTTATGGCACAGACAAGAAGAGTCGAGGTGCACAAACCTGTCGAGTTCTTTCTCCTACCCTAACAAAAAATCATATACACCTCACCAAGCATTTTGCCGAGACAAAAAGCAATGGAAAACAGTAATTGCAGAAAAATGAAAAGCGAAAACAACCACCTCTTCGATTGCAGAAGTATTTTCCTCAATGCGCAAGTCGAACAACTTGGGAACAGCGTTAGCAGCACGCTTTCTGACATAAACAGATGGATCTCTCGCGCACTTGTTTACGGCTACAAGAACGAGGGGCGCGACTATATGAAGACGAATTCCAGCCATTGTACGGAGTGCCCAGACCCTCACCAAAGGATTAGTGCCCCCCAACTCCCTTTGGAAACAATTGATCGAAAGCAATGCTTCATTTGGACGCCTACAAGCATCAAAGAAAGAGTAAACGCGAACGATCAGCTGAGCACCAACATCTAAATCCAATCATCCACATCAAGGTGATTAAAATTTCAAGTACGGGTGACATTATCCCACTTCTTTAACACGATTAGCACAAACATAGCGAGAAACGAGCAATGCCTTACAGAATTCTACCCAAAAGCAATCACGCACGCCCCTTCAAAGCTCGAAAACAATCGGAATCGAGGATCATTTTCAATTCGAGCACATCAGTCGATCCGATTCACATACTTTTCAGCGTAATGCAGCAAGTACAAGTAGACGAGCTTCTTCACTTCAAGGGACTGGGACGCGACGTTCTTGACGACCTGGGGGAAGAAGTTGGAGACGTTCTTGCCGTTCCTTTCGGGCTCCGCGGCCTCTAGGGCTCCGGAGGTACCGAAAACCCTTAGCGAGCGCGAGAGGTTTGGGGGTGTGGGGGGAGAGGGAAGAAGCAGAAGGGAGAAGGAGAAGCGAGAAGCGGAAGCAGATCTGATATGATCGAGAAAGAGGGAGAGAGATGGAGAACAGTGAGCGAGAGAGAGAGAGAGAAATTGGGGGTGAGGGCGAGGCTTTGGGGCGCTCTTTTTTTAATTAAATTTGCGACGAACTTTATATTTCGTCGCAAATTTTAGCGACGAACCTTTTAAGTTCGTCGCTAATTTGCGACGGATTTTTTTTTCCGTCGCAAATTTGCAACAGATTTTGTTTTCCGTCGCAAAAATTAGCGACGGATTTGTTTTTCCGTCGCAGATTTTGTTTCCGTCGCAAATTTGCGACGGAAGTGATCTTCGCGGCACATGGTGCCCATTTTTTCAAATCCGTTGCTAATTTGCAACGGAATTAGCGACAGAAATGTTTATACCGACCAATTTTTCAAATCCGTCGCTAATTCCGTCGGAACCTTGAGTAGATATGCTTCTACACTTTTACATATAATGACACATTACTCATATTTTGACGAATTAGTAAATGTCATGATCTAATTCGTCTAAGGACGGCAAGTCTGGTGATGCTTTTTTTTTTTTTCATTAGAGTAGCGGAGGAATGTCAAACAACTACGGGAAGTTGTTGCAAAATGGGCCGATGTGACTAGCATTACGAACACTGTGGAGAAACATGATTGATGTGGATGTCGTTGTTACAAACAGACTCGATTGACGTTTTCTCAAATAACAATAGGGCTCTGATACCAAGTCAAGAATGTGATAAAAAAAATTAAGAGCAATATATATATATATATATCATTGTCAAATGAAGAGTACACGAACCTATTTATCGATTTTATAGGATGACTATCTAAAAGGGAAAATATCAATTACAATCAATTAAAGGAAATATAGGGAATCTTCCAAAAATTTCTGTAATAGAATGCATGCCCTCTATTCACTTATCATTCGAATGTAACCCTTTAGGAGTAATTCATCTAATTGGTTAGATCAAATTGGTTAGGTCTAAATAAGAATATCTCTTTTATATGATCTCCTATAGATATCCCCATATAGATACATTGACTTTACATTTCATACATCCACCCGATTCCGATCTATTTGAAAATTGCTATAATTTATTTACCCATATATTTACGCATACATAAGAGCTACGTGCGGAGGAAACCGCCATATTCAACTAAATAGATATCTGTGTTATCTATATCTAAGTCTTGAAAAAAAGTAAGATAAGATTTGCACCTATCGATTCTAAAAAAGCTTATTTGGGACGAGAACATTTTAAGAGATTATCTAATATCTTGAGTTTATAATAGATCTTCTTATCTAATTTGAATTTGTAATATCTAATCTCTCTTAGAATTGGACGTGTAGCAAATTGTCCAATCTCTTTTGAATTTGAACTTGTGACAATCATCCAATTTAGTTTGAATTTCAATTAATAATTGTTAGTTTGCATTAGATTGATTTCATTAGGCAATATTTTAGTTTGTCTTGTGATGGAGTATATTCCTTATGTAGTCCTTGTCCTTATCACGAGAGATTGAGACAAGGTAATCATCGTGATTAGACTTAGAAGAACTTAGGTTTAGTTTTAGAACACTACAAAAAAACAAGGTTTTAGCGACAAATTTTGCGACGAAAAATTTGGCAAAATTCGTCGCTAAATGAATTTGCAACGGAAAATAAATCCGTCGCAAATTTGCGACGGATTGGAAAATGCAATACAATTTTTGGAATCCGTCGCAAAATCCGTTGCAAATTTGCGACGGAAAATAAATCCGTCGTAAATTTGCGACGGATTTTGCGACGGATTGGAAAATGCAATACAATTTTTGGAATCCGTCGCAAATTTGCGACGGAAAATAAATCCGTCGCAAATTTGCGACGGAAAATAAATCCGTCGCAAATTTGAGACGGACTTTGCGACGGAATATAAATCCGTCCCAAATTTGTGACGGAAAATAATTTCGTTGCAAATTTACGACGGATTGGAAAATGCAATACAATTTTTGGAATCCATCGCAAAATCCGTCGCAAATTTGCGACGGATTTTGCGACGGAAAATAGATCCGTCGCAAATTTGCGACGGATTGGAAAATGCAATACAATTTTTGGAATCCGTCGCAAATTTGCGACGAATTTTTATTTCGTGGCAAATTCCGTCGCAAATTAGTGACGAATAATTTTCGTCGCTAATTTGAGACGGAAAAAAAATTCCGTTGCAAATTTCGTCGCAAATTAGCGACGAAAAATTCCCCGTCGCAAATTTCCGTGGCAAAATCCATGTTTTTTTGTAGTGAAAAAAAGATCAACAAACATGGAAGAAGAGAGAGATCAAGAGTTACGAGAAATCCAATTATCTGAGAAAGCTTTTATTTTTGCACTGTTTTCCAAATGTATGAAAGTGTAATCTCTTGAGAAGTGTGTTAGTATTGTAGTTTGTGCTTAGGTATGAGATAGTGGGATCCATCTGCTTGGATATAAGCAATATCAGCTTTGGGAAGAAGTGCTTGAGTTTAAGCGACATATACAATTGTAACTACTCAAAGTTTGTTGTGGAATCCAACTAATAGGCTGTTAGTATGGGAGAGTGGACGTAGGCTTACACCAAGCTAAACCACTATAAAGCTCTGAGTGCATCATTCTTTATCTCTCTGATTATATCTATTATTGTCTGACTGAAGCACATTGCGCTACTTGATATTGTTAGTTAAGTTTCTTGAAATTACCTATTCACCCCCTTTAGGTGATATTGTTAGCCACTACATATTGATCGGTGCTTTATGTGTCACGACCCGAACCCTATCGAGCTCGCGCCATCCGCCACTGGTCGATTTTGCGACATCCTAGGAATTATCGCCGACCTCAAATACGATCATCAGAGATTTAAATCGTTAGCGGGAACCACAAATCACCTGGACAATTAAATTGAGGAGAATATTCAGGGAGAATACACATATTTCTTTTCATTACCCACTTATAAAATATTCACAACTTACGACCGCCACAATTTACAACCATCGCATACACTTGCACACCGTATTACAAACCATCGATATACAAAAAAGATCGATGACCTGGCTTTCTATCCCCAAAAATGTTACTTTCCAAAAACCTACTAGGAACCCCTGTACTAACCCCTACGCCCCTTGCTAGACGTCCATTCTGAGTCTGACTCATCATCACCAGAATCTGAACTCCCTTGATCCGATTGCTCCTCCGAAGACTCCGGCTCCGCCTCAATCACAATCGAATGATCAATGTCACCCGACTTAACTGGAGCTGCATTCTGATACTCCTCAGCCAGAAAATCAAAGAAATTGTACTCCGGCACGAAATTGAGGTCCATATATTCCTCAAACGGGAGTATATATTCCGGGTCTCCTACCGGCTCTTCCGACTCCTCAGACTCGCCATCAGGCTCTACCTCGGGCTCCACTTCGGGCTCCACTTCCTCTGGTTCCTCCTCGGGGATCGGTTCCAAATCGATGTCCATCGGATCGTCTTCAGCTTGCGACGCTTCAGGCTCGGGTTCATGCTCAGCCTCTGAAGATCCCTGAGCTGTGGGCGCTGAATGCAAACCCGACTGAGCTAAACTAGTATCCACACTAGTCAATTCTCCCTCTATCGGGGGTATGGCACAAGGGTCCCAATCCCCAACCAAATCAAACGGAACGTCAAAACCCCTAACGGGCCCGAACTCATCCCCGTCAGCATCCCGGAAGAACCAGGTAGTATATACATGGGTCTCCCACAAAGGTAGTCCTACCTCTACAAATACGGTA